AGATGATGACATGACTTGCAGTTGAAATGGATTTGAGTGAGGGAGGGCTGTGCAAAGTCACCAGCTTCGCTTTCTCCTCCAGAGCCAGCTGGGTCCAGTGGCCAGATATAAATCAGGATGACTGAGGATGGCCCAGGATGCAGTTGGAGATCTTGGCCTTTTTAAGCTAAGCTCTTTCCAAATTCTCACTTTGAGTGAGGCAATGCCCATTCAGTGAATAGCCTGTTTAAGAAGTGAGTCAAGGGGTGGCACCTTTAATAATAAAAAAAAAAATCAAAATGGGAGGGGAAGACCCTCACAGGGTTCCTGGACAAAAGAGAAGTAATTACTATTTACATTCAATCTGAGAAGGGCCCAAAAAATAACCATTAAGTGGTGCTGGGGCAGGGACCTGTTGTTGTCCAATCAATGAGAGCCAGAGTGACAGTTTTTAGGAATAGATGGTGCAGTAGATAGAGCAGCAGCCCTGGATTCAGGAAGACCCGAGTTCAAATCTGGCCTCAGACACTTGACACTAACTAGCTATATGACCCTGGGCAAGTCACTTCACCCCATTGCCTCATTAAAGAAAAAAAAAGAATAGAGATAGGTCCAGGTGTGGTGGTGTATACCATAGCTCCTGGTGCTGGAGAGGCTGAGGCTGTTTGGGTCATGTGAGCTCAACAGTTCTGGGCCGTAGCAAGGCTAAAGCTGATCAATCAGACATTTACACAAAGGTGGGCACCAATATTGTGGATCCCAGGGAACAAAAAGCAATCAGGCTATCTAACAAAAAGCTAAATGGATTAGATAAGAAAAATGAGGCAGGTTAAAGCTTCCATGGCAATCAAGACAAGAGTAGAGCCCAGGAGTGGCTGCTGCACTTCCAGCCCAGGCAACTTAAAGAGACTCAGTCTTTAAAAAACAATAAATTGAAATTTAAACAAATACAGGGATAGGGACCAGATCTGTGATCTCATTGATATAGGGAACTTCCAGGTGAGGAAACTCTCTTTACCAATGCAGGTGGACACTTAAGCACAATATAAATATGAGCTATTATTATCTCTTTAAAAAAAGCCCCAGAGCTGGACTATGTAATCATTGAGCCATACAGAATTTGACCCCTCTCTATGTTTCTCCCTAATGTGAAATAGTTTCCGTATCCTCAACAGTGGCCTGAGAATGTCAGTTGGTTTGACTCACTAGGAGGAAGGGCCAGAACAGGAGGAAAGGTCTTTGTGCTTGAGGCCAGTGTCAGGAAGCCCTTGTGGTATCAGCTAAAGAGGAGTGGGAGGAACAACAGAAAGGCTTGGGGATTGGGAAAATCCCAGATGTGACAGAGTACGTACAATAATCAATAATAGGAAATGAATGGCCAACTCTGATAAGTTGCCTCCAGATTCCAAAATAATTTACTGCAATTTCACTAGCCCATAGATTAATTAGCTTCCAGGACCCAATCATGCCATGAATGTTCCCATTTCTGTCTTTGGCTCCTACTCTTTTCCATACCTTAAATGTCCTGCCCTCTGCTGCCCAAACCCTACCTCTATCCCTCCCAGCACAAAGAAGTCCTCTCTCTATGGTGCCTTCCATGCTACTCTATTCCTCAGAATTTTTTCCCCTCCTCTGAAAATGTGGCAGGTAAGTAATGACATAAAAGCAGATGAATTTTAAAAGACATTTTGGATGCCTACAAAGACGGGAGGACAGCATGATTTAGTGGAAAGAACGCTGGGGTTGTGGTTAGAAAAAAGACTTGCCTCTGTCACCTTCTACCTTGCTGAGTTTAGGCAAAACACTTAACACGTGTATGTCTTACTTATTTAAAAAGGAGGTCATAAATATTCAACAACTCCTCACATCCCTTTTCATTCTCAATCCTGGGTTCTCCTTTAGCTCACATAGCCACTGGGCCTCCCTACACACATGTACTCTCATCCCTCCCCAAGCACCACCTTTCCCAAGGAAATAATTTGGAGGATAAAAAAGAGGAGGGACTAGAAAACTTTTTCTAGGGCTCCCCACTGGTGCCATCCTTCCCCAACTCTGCCCACTAGAGTCTTCATCATGCTTGTGCCTGAAACACAGAGAAATAGCAACAGCAGCATCTGTGACTTCCAGCATCCTGCCACCTCCATCTTATCCCTAGCTCTTGGATCCACCTATGACTGGCTGTGCCCGGAGTTTCTGTCCAAGGACTTGATGACACCAATTCCCCTCAACATCTTCAGAATGTTGCCTCACAGGATGTATGTGTGTTTTGTATTGGAGAACAAGAGGTACTGAGGTGGGGGAGCAATGGAGTAGAATGTGTCATGTCACTGGGGACCTACTAGACAAGAAGGAGGAAAGGAATTTCAAACCCTGCCTCTGTGACCTACCACTTGGTTGAGTTTGGGCAAAACACTTAACATTCATAGGTCTTATCTATTTAAAAAGTTCATACTGAATGACATCTCATATTCCTTTTATTTTTTTAATCTTATTTTTAAAATTTCAATAACATTTTGTGCATATCTTTTGACCCAGCAATATCACTTCTAGGGCTATATCCCAAAGAGATCATACAAATGGGAAAAAGACCCATACGAACAAAAATATTTATAACATCTCTTTTTGTCGTGGCAAAGAACTGGAAATAGAGAGGATGCCCATCAATTGGGGAATGGCTGAATAAGTTGAGGCATATGAATGTAATGGAATACTATTGTGCTATAAGAAATGATGAGCAGGTAAACTTCAGAAAAACTTGGAAAGACTTGTATGTACTGATGCTGAGTGAAATGAGCAGAACCAGGAGAACGTTGTACACAGTAACAGCAATGATGTGCGACAACCAACTTTTATAGACTTAGCGCTTCTCAACAATACAAGGATATATGACATCTCCAAAGGTCTCATGATGTAAAATGCTATCCACATCCAAAGAAAGAATTATGGAGTTTGAATACGGATTGAAACATACTATTAGCTATTTTTCTCTTCTGTTCTGTTTTCTTTCTTCTTTCTTGTGGTTCCTCCTATTGGTTCTAATTCTTCCTTACAACATGACTAATGTGAAAATATGTTTAATAAGAATGTATATGTAGAGTCTATATCAGATTGCATGCCATCTTAGGGAGGGAAGTGGGGAGGGAGAGGGAGAAAAATTTGAAATTCAAAATCTTATGGAAGTAATTGTTGATAAATCAAAATAAATTAATAAAAATAATATTTTATTTTCCCCCAATTACACATAAAAACAATTTTTAATATTCATTGGTTTTTTCCTAAGTTTTGAGTTGATGCCCAAAGGGCTATAAAACCGTGCATGCCCTTTTTGATCCAGTAATACCACTACTAAGTCTGTATCCCAAAGTGATCATTAAAAAAAGAAAAAGACTCGCATATGCAAAAATATTTATAACAGCTCTTTCTGTGGTGGCAAAGAATTGGAAATTGAGAGAATACCCATCAATGAGGGAATGGCTGAACAAGCTGTGTTATACGAATGTAATGGAATATTATTTGTGCTATAAGAAATAATGAGCAGGCAGACTTCAGAAAAACTGGGAAGGTTTGTATGGACTGATGCTGAGTGAAGTGAGCAGAACCAGGAGAACATTGTACACAGTAACAGCAATATTGTGCAGTGATCAACTTTGACACAATTTGTTCTTCTCAGTAATACGATGATCTAAGACAATTCCAAAAGACTCATGATGGAAAACGCTATCCACATCCAGAGAAACAACTGTGGAGTCTAAATACAGATTGAAGTATACTATTTTCACTTTTTTTTGTTTTTTCCTTTCTTGTAGTTTTTCCCTTTTGTTCTGATTCTTCTTTCAGAACATGACTAATGTGGAAATGGAAATATGTTTAATATGATTGTTCATGTATAACCTATATCAGATTGCTTGCCATCTTGGGGAGGGAGAAAAATTTGGAACCCAAAATCTTATAAAAGTGAATGTTGAAAACTATCTTTACATGTAAATAATAAAATAAAAAATAAAATACAACAATAACAACAACAACAGCAATAATAATACATAGATATATATTGATCAGGATGAATGGAGATGGCCCAGAATGCAGTTGGAGACCTTGGCCTTTTTAAGCTAAGGTCTTTCTGAATTCTCACTTTGAGTGAGGCATATATGTATGTATGTATGTATGTATGTATGTATGTATGTATATGTATATGTATATATACCCACATATATAATATAAACAAAAATAAATAAATAATATAAAATATTATTAAGTGGGAAAAAATTAAGTTTTGAGTTCCAAATTCTATCCCTCCCTCCCCTCCTGTCTCCTGGAAATAGTAGGCAATCTAATACTGGTTATATATGCAATCACATAAAACATTTCCATATTAGTCATTTTGTGCAAGAAGAAAAAGAAAGAAAGAAAGAAAGAAAGAAAGAAAGAAAGAAAGAAAGAAAGAAAGAAAGAAAGAAAGAAAGAAAGAAAGAAAGAAAGAAAGAAAGGAAGGAAGGAAGGAAGGAAGGAAGGAAGGAAGGAAGGAAGGAAGGAAGGAAGGAAGGAAGGAAGGAAGGAAGGAAGGGAGAGAGAGAGAGAATGGAAGGAAGGAAAGAAGGAAGGAAGGAAGGAAGGAAGGAAGGAAGGAAGGAAGGGAGGGAGGAAGCAAGGAAGGAGAAAGAAAGAAAAACAGATAGGAAGGAAGGGAGGGAAGAAGGAAGAAAGAGAAAAAATAGTGTGCTTTAGTCAATATTCAGATAATATCAGTTCTTTCTCTGGAGGTGGATAGCATTTTTCATCAAAAGTCTTTGGGATTGTTCTGGATCATTGTATTGCTAAGAATAGCTAAGTCATTCACAATTTTGCATTGTACAACATTGCTGCTACTGAGTACAAAGTTCTCCTGGTTCTGCTCACTTCACTTTATATCAGTTCATGTAAGTCTTTCTAGGTTTTTCTGAAATCATCCAGCTTGACATTTCTTAAAGCACAATAATATTTCATTTTAATTCAGGTCCCTTTTCATTCTTGATCTTGTAATCCTATGAATTCTAGGCTCTATTTTGGCTCAGAGAGCAGTTGGTCCCCCCCCACACACACAATTAGCTAGACTCTCATGCCTAGAAGAAATACTGCCTTTGGTATTCTTCCTAAAATACTGTTTTCATCATGTCACTTCCCTTTTGAAAACCTTAGAAAGGGTGTCTCTTTCTTATCCTGTAAATTCTAAATGTTTCTGCATGGCTTTTGAAGCAAGCAGAACCTAGCACTTAGCTTTTCAATCTTATTTCCCAATACATATTCTGTTACAGTCAGGCTGGTCTCCATACTGTCCCTTGAACATTAGCATACATTTAGCATCCACTTAATTTTTACTGTGTAGATTGTCAGGTCAATATATTTTGAACAATTATGGAACTCATTGAGGAAGCCCTTTAATATTTTGAGGTTTGAAGACAATACAATAGAATTTGGGGTATATGGGGTGTGCAAGGAATACTAGCACCTCTGGTATGAGGGCTTGCTGAGACATTTTCAGGACTGCTCATCAACCTTTGGTATCTACCACGCACTCAGCTGTCACCTGTGACTCCAAGAAGCTGAAGCATGTGCCTCACCCACGTAAACCCTCTCTGAAGTCAGGCTAAACCAGGTTGAAGGTGACCAACAGGCCTCAAACCCATGTGTGACTTAGGAGGGTGTCTATCTCAAGCATGTGAAGACTTCCCTCAATGGAATGGGTAGCGAAGAAGAGATTATGTTGAAGAGGAGATTCCTACATCATGCAGTGCCAGAGGATGTCCGTGGAGGTGATTTCTAAGATCCCTTCTGCTGGAAGCTCAGCTTTCACACCAGTATTGGCCCCTCTTAGTTTGATATTGGGATAAAATGAGGCACAAAGGAGGTTTACTTTGCCCTAACACAACACGAATATGCAACAAGGATACATTAGTACTTGGCTCTTCTAGACCAAACCCTTTCATCTCCATCTGTAAACACTCTGGTCAGTAAATCCTCAAGGTATGGAAATGCTAGTGGTCTTAGGCAACCTCTAAGTCTGAGAAGTACAGACTATATATGGCTGGGACTTTTTATGCTCCTGGATAACCAGGAAGCTACAATCAAGAAAGCTAAAGCCAATCAGAACTCGGGGAAGCTTTGGAAAGCCTCTCTACATTATTGGGGATGGAAACAAAGAAGATATGTCAGGAAGATAATGGTCCTATCACACCCTTCAACTTAAAAGTTTGATTATTGTAAAAATAATTCATATTGGACAAGCCCTAGACAAGCCCTACCTCCCTCTCCCCATTCCCCATTGTTTTTTTTTCACTCTTGCACTATATTTCTCTTTATTTTTAAAAATATTTCCTCCAATTACACGTAGAAACAATTTTTAACATTTGTTTTTTAAAATGTTGAGTTCCAAATTCTCTCCTCCTTTCCCCCCTCCCTGATACAGTAAGCAATCTAATATAGGTTATATATGTGCAATCATGCAAAACATATTTCTATATCACTCATTTTGTGGAAGAAAACTCAAACTAAAAAATAAAAATAAAGTGAAAAATAGTATGCTCCAAAGAAGTTCAGTCACAAGAATGCTAGTACCCAGTCCTCTTTTGGAGGAGAATATATAAGGTGATGGATACTAGAATCTCATTCAAAAGCCCTCATTGCTGCACAGTACAGTGGGGCCCATCACATGCTATGTAAACAACAATGACCTTCAAGGCTCTACTCCAGAAGCAGCTGCCGAAGTGATCCAGTGGGTGAGCTTTGCTGACAGTGACATTGTTCTTCCAGCCAGTCCCTTGGTGTTCCCACTCTTGGCATCATGTACCACAACAAACAGGCCACAGAGAACACAAGAGAGGAGGTGAGGCAGGTTCTAGGGCTGCTGGAGACTCGGATTTCCCTGATGGGATGGCGTGTGACTCTAGCTGTGTGCATCCTCTTATGGCTCTGTAAGCAGGTCCTGGAGCCGTCTTTCTGGCAGGCCTTTTCCAACACCACCCACTGGTTCCTCACCTGCATCCACCAGCCCCAATTCTGGGCAGTGTTGGGAAAGGTGAAGCTCTGTGAGAAGATGGCATAGTTTGATGCTAAAAAGTTTGCCTAGAGTCAGCCTAAGAAGGAAGCCCCAAGGAAAGAAAAGGGACAGCAAGAAGAGGAACAGAAGGCCCAGGCTGAGTGGAAGGAAGACAAGAAGGCATCCGTAGCTCCCAGCCTCCAGCCCCAAGGAGGAGATGTACGAGTGTGAGCAGGCTCTGGCTGCCCAAGGCCAAGGATCCCTTTGCCCACCTGCCCACAAGTACCTTTCTGTTGGATGAATTTAAGCAAAAGTACTCCAGCGAGGTTGCGCTGTTGGTGGCCCTGCTGTACTTCCGGGAGCACTTTGACCATGACAGCTGGTGCCTGTGGTATGCTGAGTACAGCTTCCCACAGGAGCTCAGCTAGCCCTTCACAAGCTGCAAACTCATCGCTGGAATGTTCCAGCGCCTGCACAAGCTGAGGAAGAATGCCTTTGCCTGAGCCATC